AGTGACAGCCTGAAATGCACGATCGCCACAAATCTGTATTTTGTGCACAAAGCAAATAAATATTAAATAAAGGTGTGATTGTGTGGCATTTAATTAAGGGCACATGCACTCTCTTTTAAAAGCAATAAAATCTTACCTTTCATTAAATGGCTTTTTGGCAAACTGAACTTGCTCCCTTACATTTGTCCCAAACACCAACATCTGCTTTTCAGTGTCAATTATGCACTGCAAAAAAGATGATACACCAACACATCACATATTTACATGAAGGTAACAATATGGCATTTACTCTTGCAGTATCCACACACCAAAATATGTACTTATTTTGCCCCATTAGTGGTAAGAATCTAATAGCAAGGTGATATTTGTTAGTCTATTGACCTTTATCCTCGTGTTCATTATTTAGGTCATTGTGTTTCAGATGATCTTTAAATGTTACTCGTGGGAAGCAGATGATTTACCTTGAGTGACTTTAATGTCTTGTTGCCCAGGGACATCAGTGGTTTGTTACTTTCTGCAAGTAAATGTAATTGGCAGACAATAATATTATAGCATAATACTTAACTGTGGCTTAAAGTCACTGGTTACAGTCACAAAAATCCATTAATCTTGGCTTTAATGTTACTCTTCTTCCTTACCTACTATGGTAAAGGAGCACATTATTCTGAGCTGCCCGATGGTTAGGCTGAGTTCTTTGATATGGCCATCAATACAAAGCTTCCGCTGAAATGGAAAACCATTTGTCTCCATTTTGTTCTCCTCAACCAGTTCTTTCCAGCTTTCAGAGAAAACAAAATAATTACCAGTGGAATAAATGCACAAAAATATGGTACTATCCAGGGTGGTGATACACTGGGATTTGTCAAAGATACGGCCAGTATGCGATTACAGACTGGTGATGATATGATATGATATGATATGAGACAGATCTTCTCACCCATATCTCTCCACAGTAAGTGAGGACATCAGGTTCAGTTTGCAGCCGGTGTCAATCAGCACGTTCACCTCCTGTCCTAAACACTGTAAACACACAGAGAAGGTGGAGGTGAAAAGGAAATAAAAACACTGCAGCAACAGAAAAGAAAAAAACCCATTTGTGCATTTGTCCAAGAGTTCACAGCAGTTCTTGAGTTTTAAAGGGCTTGTTCTGAATATATATATAAGTACTTTATTCTAATTGGAGCTACCTGTACAGACTCACCTTGCAGGGCACATACATGAAAGCATCCTCCTCTTCTTCATCCTCCTCGTGTGAGTTTAAACGATTACAGCTCAGAAGGACCCCTCCGTTGTTTGCTGTCACTCCACACATGTGCATCCTTCCCCGGGACAACTTGGCTTCCAGCAGGCGCTTCTGGAGAATATGGTGTGGCTGCTGCAATGCAAATAAAAAACAATAGAGTTAGGAAATCTCTAATAATGTTTGTGATCTTCAGAAACCGTCTTCAGTGCCTAGGAAACTAAAAAAGATGTTGAATATACAACAGTATATCAAAATGACCTGACATGTAAAGGCTTAATGAGTGAGACTATACATGTAAATAGTAAGGATCAATATTCAAGACACTATTTCTATACACATTCAGAGTCAAGCAAACAAAAAGAAAGACAAAATTCATATTTTCACAGGTTTTTAGGATTTTTTTGTTTAAGCTGCAAAAATACAAATGGATTTCATTTCCAAACATTTACTTCACTTAAAATAACTTCCTGCACAATGGCAGTATAGTTTATTATTAATGTTTTTAAGCTATAGGTGTGGAAACATTAGGCTGAACCATCCTTTATAGACAGTTTATTTTCTCCTTATAGCTCTAATGTATAGGCTACCACTCCATTACTGTATGGGCTATAATTTAAAGTAATAGAATTAATACAATATAAGCTTGTGGTAAATTAAGCAACCGCAGTGATTCCCCCATCGACATAACTGCCATTACTTATCAGTAGTGGGATAAAACGTGTAATTTGGTTGAGTCGTGAGTCCAAAAACGAGTCTAGAACTGTGGCACTAATAAAGGCCTATCATAACAGGCACACCCCCTGTTTCGATGTCCCGAGTTTCTTCAGTCCATCCAAAGGCAGCAGATCAGCTGAGTCTTTGTGAAGGAACTGGATCGCCTGTTTCAGCCTCCTCTGCTGCCTCAGAGACGCAGCATCCAGGACCCCCGAGTCCTCGCGGTTCTCAGTCCGCATCCCCGTGGACATGACGGCGGGTATCTGAGTCAGACCGAGGCGGTGGGTCTGTATGTGTCGGATCTGTAGCTGTACACAACCGAGTCTAATGCGGAATCCCCGATGATGAGCTAGTGAAGAGGAGATACCCCCATCATGATCAGTGCCGTGGAGGTAGTGAAGTCAGACAGGTTAGCAATACGACTTCTGGTCAAAAACCTTCAAAATAAAACTCTAATTCAAAGCCCTGGCAAATTAAGATAATCTGAATCATTTGTGAGATGAGAGACTGTGAGTATCTAGCAACATTTAAGTCCCTTTCCACTGAAAAATATCTTTTTTTTCTTGTTCCTACAGTTCTATGTTTTATCTTCACTCTGCAGTTATGTATGTGCACAGTTTGACACCAGAAGGATGTTTTCACATCCACTGAAAGTGGAAAGTTTCTCTGACTTTCTGTCCAGTGTGCAATTTACACAACCATGATGTAGAAAACCTGAAGCATTCAGTGCACAGACACTGATCATGGACTTTACAGTGAAGTAGGACACATCTTGTGTCCACAAGGAAAACTATAGACATTAATAAAAATGTACATATTCTGGTATTTTTAATGACTTTTCTAGATGTGGAAATTATACTTTTATAGGATTTATATAGGTTACCACAAACAACACAAGGACATTTTTCCAAACTGAAAACTGAATTTATGTCTTTCTGTCAGATTTAACTTTCACAGAATATAAGCTTTATATCCAAAAAAGGAGATCTGAAAGAGAAGCTGAACCAAGGTGGCTTGGAAAGTTTCATAGCCTATGTGTACCTCTGTTTATTGGCAGAATTGTTCTTCTGGTCCACATAAGTCCCCCAAGACAACAGGCACTGCACTGGAACCATTTCTTATTTAGACAGTTAAAGTTTATTTGCTGTACCTTTTCATATAAATGCAGTTGAAAGTGGGAATAGAAAAAACCTACAGCAGGAGCAGAAATACTAAAACACACTAGAACAATAATAAAGATGCAAATAAATTACTTGAGAACCTTAGACGGAACAACAACATGATATAATATTATAGATATAGATATATTATAGCACAAGAAGCTGTTATAATGCCTTGTTTTGTGGGACTATGTAGCTGTTAATACACTTGAATGACAGTTTTTACTTTGACGATATTATCCTGTTTTTGTGGCCCCTGGCAGCTACAACGTGCTTGAAGACATTAAACTAACTCCTTCAGAAAAATAAATGTTTGTTAGCGAGATGTCTCAAGTTCCTGTTATTTGAAATTTGCTTTAAAAAAAAAACTATTTTCAACAAAATTCTTTTAGATTTTCCTTTATTAAGAATTTTTTTGCAATTTTCCATTATTATAGCAAAACAACACAAAGACATTACATTTAATAAACAAAACACAGAACGATGTGAATATGATGGAAATATTCTACGAATGAGAAATCGCAGTGTGAACTTAATCAATGTCTCATGTTTTTTGTTAGAAATCCACATTTACTTTATTTATTAAAGTAGCCTAAATGTTCATCCTGGGTGTTAAGGAAGCTGTATATTTAGATAGCTCTATGCTGGATCATGCTTCCTTCACTCTTAGACCATGAATTACAACTTTGACTGAAGCTGTTTAAATACTGTGTGCTTTATTTGAATATATACTGTAGTGTAGATTCCAGCTGTAAATCAGAAGATGTCCTCATGGTTGGATGAAATCAATATGGGTTCTGTGTCTCTGAAGCTAACTTGTACAATATTCACGACACAGACTCGAACTGATGGTTGAACTGTTTAATCCTTTCTGATATTGTTAACTGTATGCTGGTAGTATGATATATCAGTTGTAAGTATTACCTCATATTAAACCTGAAGTTCCTGCACTGACTTTCAGTTAGTCAACTATATTTATTTATTTATTCAAGGAGTATTCCCCTGTTACTGGGTTAATATGTCTATGTTAATGGTCTGCTGCCCACTATACAAAAACTAAGATAAAGGCCTATGGTTGAAGCTGACCCTGTAGTTCTGGATCCAAACTGTGAAATTCCTCCACATCTAAGGACAGCTGCAACAACTGAGGCTTTTAAGTGCCCGTTCAAACCTCTTCACTTTGGCTTTTATGACTCTATTTTAGAGTCATAAAAGCCAAAGTGACCTGCTACAATTATTTTACTTCTTATTATATTATTATTGGTTTCTTCCCTCTTTTTTCTAAACTTTTGTCCTTTTTTTTCCTTCTCTATCATTTGTTTTCTGTAGAAGCAATTTTGGTTGCATAATATAATATAATATATATATTTATATTCTACATACATATAAAGGAAGATTGTCATCATTATTATATACTCACCTGTACATACCAGTATATTAGCCTATATAAGCACCTATCAATAGAGCACTAACAGGCCTACAACACGTTAATGTCATTGTATTCAGAGCACCTATCGATGTTGTCTATCTGTATCTGTAAGTCCTCTTTTCTACGCCTTGCTAGATATTATAGGTTTGTTTGTTTTCAGACGTGATGCTCTGTGTAGTCTGCACTACTGTCGGCTGGACCTGACATCCCTCTGAGCCTCTGTTCACTGCATTGCCCAGATTCCCCTTTTTTTTTCCCACACGACCTTGTTTTCAACATGGATGCCGAACAATCTGCCCACACATCGCTGTTTATGTTGCCGAAGAGCCAATCTAACCACATCCTGTGGCACAGCGTGGCCCGGAATCCACCGTTCGGGTTGATTGGCGTCTTATGTTGAAGCTTAAATATTAATTTTCTGTAACGACGCAGCGCATTTCCCTCGAAAAGCTCGAGACAATACGAAAACCGACGCGGAATGGCGTCTGTCAGGGGCCCGGGAAGCTGAATAACAGCAACACACACTCGAACGGGACACGGCTGACCAATGGGAGTGGGAGCTGTGATCTCTCCAGCCAATCACCGTGTCTGGATTGCGAATAGGCGGGGCGTCGCTCGGAGGATTGTGTTGTCATACATGTTCCCGGTGTGTGGCCATCGCGCTGCGTTTCCTGCACTGGTGCATGGTGGTCGAACAGGAGGAATTGTTGGAAATTTTTCGGAGGTTAGTATATAAATTGGTTTTTACCCAGTATGCATTATTCCCACAGCCATGTCGGTGAGCGGGAGCGACGGGCTGCGGCGGGGACTCAGAGGAAGGACGGAGAACACAGTTGAACCATGAAATAAAAAGACTCCCACCGAGTGAAAAAGCTTGTGTTATCATTAATTAGCTCTTCTTGTTTCCTAACTGCGTCCAGAGTTACACGACTGAAGCTCCGAGCAGACAGGCAGGCAGACAGCCCCGCAGCTGTCCGAGAGTCCGCTTAAAGGTTACAAACTGCAGCTTCAGACCCGGGAGCTGGACTCTGGTTGAATAAGATCTTAAAGCACAGTTTTGTTAATTACCGATAGAAAAGTCGTGATAGCTCCGGTTGGCGGAGTTAGCTGTTAGCGTGCGGGCTAACCGCTGGCTCCGTTGTGACAGCTCTCGTTTCTGCGGCTGTAAGCACTTTAACTGCGGGCTGTTTGACCGTCCACACAGGCTGGCAGTGTGCTGACTAACAGCGTTAGCCTTACAACAGAGCCGGCTCACTACACTTGTTAGATGAAGTCTCATTACAGAGGGCAAATGTGGCAAGTCATAGCGCTACGTCTTAGCTAGCTAGCTAGCCCCAAATTACATATTCAAATCAACAAGCGCCAAAACATCATCTGTGACAGCACGTACAGTGTGAGCCTGTTCAGGGAGGGAGCACTTACTATCTTAACAAGTCTAACGTAGCTTACAGCTGCTTGAATTACTCCGCAAAGGCTCGAGTTTATAGTGGGGATATATTATTGCTAATAACAACAGTAATACAGTTTACATGTAGTTTATGTGTCACAAGAGGTAAACGAGGCTGGGTTAGTAATTATCTTGGGGTCCCAGAGCTCCAGGGGTCCCTAAACTCTGGTATTAACTGGTTTGTTATAATTTTAATAGAAAATGTGTCTGGGAATATGCACAGCAGCAGCACAGTTACTGACACGATAAGGGCCTTCAACTGGGTTATGCTTTATTACCTGGGCGCCTGTGTTAAAACAGTGTAGTTGTAAGAACTTTAATTTCATTGTGTTTACTTTCTGTGCCTATATATTACCAAATCCTAGATTCATGTGCATAGACTTACTGTGTGTGTGTGTGTTTTAGCATAGAAAAACTGTATATGTTGTACATGTGGGAGTGTCTTCCTCTCCAATGTTAACTTGACCTTGGAAGTAATTTATGTATGTTGGCTACACTCATTATCTAACATGTCATCTGTGCATCAGTATTGTCCCATCTGGCAACTGTGGACACCAGTTTGAGTTTAAAATGCGTCTGTGTGTGTGTGTGTCACTCCAGCAGCTAAAGCATGCTCTTGGCCCAGATAAACCGGGACTCCCAGGGAATGGCAGAGTTTCATGATGCAGATGGGCAGCCAGTCACTCTCTGCCTGACAGAGGCGGTGACTGTAGCAGGTGAGCTCCCAAACTTCAAACATCATTGTTATAATTCCATTTAGAGTCAACTAAAAGTAGAAAGTAAAAGCTCTTTCATATAGGTAAACATGAGCATACAGCGTTTTTAGGGCTATGTTCTCTACCGTTTGTAGCCAACAGCTAAAGTATTGTCATTGTCAAATCATCTCCCAGATGGTGATCAGATGGAGAGCATGGACACAGTTAGCCTGCAGGCTGTTACTCTAGCAGATGGATCCACAGCATACATCCAACACGACTCCAAAGCGTCCTTTTCAGATGGCCAGATCATGGATGGTCAGGTGATCCAGCTGGAGGACGGCTCTGCTGCCTACGTTCAGCATGTTTCAATGCCTAAAGCAGGTAAAACGCAGATCTCTGCATTACCTCAGGACAGCGAGGACAGTACTTGTGTTATACTATTTTGTATGTCGAATTACCAACTGCCACAGTATGTGGCATGATGGGAAGCAATGATTTATTTGGATTTCATCTGCATGCCATTAGACTGTTTTTATACAGGATTGAAGGCATACATAGCGATATCTGGATAAATAGAGGTTACTGTTGTTGAGGTAGTTGTGCCTAATGTTTTTTTTTTTTCTGTTGTAGGAGGAGACAGTTTA